GTGCCTGTGTTGCTGGCGCATCCCCAATAGGGGGTGTGCAGGAGGCAGCTGATCGATGTTTCTCTCTCATCGATGTTTCTAACTCTCTACCTCTCTCCCTTCCTCTCTGTAAAAAATCAATAAAATATATTAAAAAACAAAAAACAAAAAGAGGATGTAAAGTAACTCAATAATTTCTTATATTGGTTACCTGTTCAAATGAGAAGAATATGGATTTATTGGGTTAAATAAAGTAAATTATTAAAATGAAAAAAAATATATTGTTCCTCAAATGCCCTTCACAACAGTCCCTTCTCATCCTCCACCAAACTGAGGCTGAGTTCTGTCTCAGGGGGTTCCTACATGGGCAGCCCACCCAGCCTCACTTTCAAGTAGCTTTTGCCATCATGTATTGGGTGCGTCGATTCCCTGCCAGGCTCTCTCTGTCCTGTGCCGGGCATACAGAGACTCCAATGTCCCTGAGTGGACCCACCCTCGTCCACCAGGACGCCCAGGGCTCTAGGTCAGCGGGCGCTAACCTTTCGGATCTCACGGACCACCAGGGGTCTGCGGAACACCGGTTGGCGACTGCTGCGATCCCTCTGCTCCCCAGGCTGACGGCACATCCTACCTGGATGTGCCTAAGCTTCTGTAGCAGCACATTCTCCTTTCTTCTGGTCCCATTGGATGCTTTTAGGTACCTGGCCACTTTGAGTTCTATTCCTAGGCTTCTGCTCATGTCCTGAGTCCTCATGTATACTCCCGAGTAGCCCACGTGCTCTTCACCACACTGCCCATCATCTGCTCTCGGCCACCATCAAGCAATCGCTCCTCCACCCAGCAAGACACACCACACATCCTCCTGCATCACACAATCCTTGGGCAGATGGCAGCAGGCAAGTGCCGTTGCCACTGAGAATGGAGGAGGCACCCTGGCAATGTGTGTGGAGTCCAGGACCTGCTCCCCATCTCAGCTGTCCCTGCCCCCCAGCCCGGAAGGCAGCTCAGTCCATCTCAGCCACATGCATGAGCCAGCCAGACCTGGGACCACCCCACTCCATTAGAAAAATCTAGATCTACTTACTGAAAGTTGAGGGTGTTGGAATAGAGGTGCAGGGCGGCCCGGTTACTGCAGGGGAATAAGGCAGTGCTAAGCTGCACAGGTTCGGCCAGGCAGGGACAGCACGTCGAGGTCCTGCCCCTTTTCCTAGTGCCCCCTCCCAACTAATCCCACTCCCCAGATCTTCTCCAAAAGCCAGGGCACCCCCAAGACCCACATCAACACAGTATCTTCTCCCCACTCCTCCCTTCCCTCGGCCCCGGCTTCCACCTCTTCCTGACATGCAGGGAGACGTATTTGGCATTGAAGTTCTCGATCATGGCTCGGGAGGCCTGGTCCATCAGCTTCTGAGCCAGGCCAAGGCGCCGGTGGGAACGCTTCACGGCCTGGAGGAAGAAGGCTAGGAACTTGAGGGCTGCCCCATCTAACCCTACTTCCGCCCCCATCAAAGCCTGCGTGGGCCCTACGCACCAGTGAGGTGATATGTCCGTGGGGCACATCATCTGGGTCCTCTTCCCTATATCAAGAAGAAAGGAGAGAGGTTAGCAAGGAGCCTGGTGAAGACGCAGCCACCCCCACCTCCCGGCACATGCGCATGGCAGGACCATGTGCCGGGAGGTAGCCCCAGATCTGGGGTGGCAGGAGAGCTGGGACTCTCAAACCCCTCACCGCAGCCAAAAGACATGTGTAGTGTCAATGGAGTGCAATGGAATATGGTTCGGTGATAAAAAGAAATGCGCTAGCAAACCATGAAAAGACATGGAGGAACCTTAAATGCACATTACTAGGTGAAAGAAGCCAATCTGAAAAGGCTACCTCGTTTCTGATTGCAGCTAAATGACATTCTGGGGAAAGGCAAATCAAAACTATAATGAGATACCACCTCCCACCTGTTAGAGTGGCCATTATCAACAAGACAAGCAATGACAAGTGTTGGAGAGGCTGTAGAAAAAAGGGAACCCTCATCCACTGCTGGTGAGAAGGTAGACTGGTACAACCACTATAGAAAGCAGTCTGGCAATTCCTCAAAAATTTAAGAATAGAGCTACCATATGACCACAACCCAGTAATCCCTCTCCTGGGTATAGACCCGAAAAACTCTGACCCTAACCCTAACCCGGCCAGTGTGGCTCTCTGGTTGAGTGTTGACCTATGAACCAGGAGGTCACAGTTCAATTCCGGTCAAGGCACGTGCCCAGGTTGCAGGCTCGATCCCCAGTAGGGGGCGTGCAAGAGGCAGCCGATCAATGATTCTCTCATCATTGATGTTTCTATCTCTCTCTCCCTCTCCCTTCCTCTCTGAAATCAATAAAAATACATTAAAAATTTTTAACTGAAAACTGAACTTAAAAGAGTCTAGAAATTAATTTAAAAAAAAACAACCCAGACAGCATCCACCAGACACGTGCAGTGCTGGTGCCCCCACCCCTGTGGAAGATCCATGCCCCATCCCCCAGCTCCCACACCAGGCTTCTCTCCCTCCTTGGTAACTCACATTTTGGCCAGGACATACCCCACAATCTTCCCATTCTCATCCTCAGCGATGTAAGAGAGCTGGGTGACAGGGAGGAGAAAGAAGTCAGAGAACAACTTCCTGTCAGAGGCGAGGAGCCCTTAGCAGCCACCTAGTCCCATGGCTCGCTGTGTGCATGACAGACAGAAGTCCCTCCAGTGGTAAGTTCAGTAACAGCTCTTGACCTCCAGGCCAAGTGCCTTGGTTTCCCCATACCACACTCTGCCCTGTCGTAGGCAGGGAGAGGACAGACACAGGTGGGAATCCTGCCCCTCCCTTGGCCCAGTCCTTAAGCTCCCCACCCCAGCTGAGAGCACCCACTCCTCCCAAACGGACGCCCGGTGTCCCCGGTCCCCTAATCCAGCTGCCCACCTGGGGCCAGGAGAGGCCATGGTAGAAGTAGTACTTCATTTGGTAGTTCTCTGGCAGGCACAGCAGATTGCAGTGCTGCATGTTCATCAGGTCCTCTGGCTGCGGGAGGAGGGCATGGGAATGCGGTCAGACGAGGGGCTGCAGTGAGTAAAGCAGGCCCGGGTCCTGTCAAAGCCCGCTCGCTGTCTATTCACTGACATTCCGCCCCCCCTCGCTCCCGCCCGCCTTACTCCCGCAGGGCTGGGCGGGCCTGTCTTTACACCGGTCTGGCCCACAGCCACTATGCAAAAATCGTCTGTTCCTGGAATGAATGTGGGTGCAAGGGGAGCTCCCAGACACCATCCAACTGAGCCCGGACATCCCGCAAAGACGGGGTTTGCAGCCCCGACCCCCTCTCCGGGTAGGTCCGGCCCCCTCTTCGTGTAGGTCCAGCCCCACGGGCACGATGGCCTTCACCAGCCCCGCACAGGGCGGCCGGCCCGGGACACTAGGCCCCTCAAGAG